CCACTGTTAGGGACTGGTGGTGGTGGAGGTCTCTAGTCCGTCCTTCGGGGCTCTGTGAGCGGGCAAAGAGAGGTGGTTTTCCCGGTCTCCCGCCCTGGGGGTGTGAAATAAACAGAGTCCCACTGTTAGGGACTGGTGCTGGAGGTCTCTAGTCCGTCCTTCGGGGCTCTGTGAGCGGGCAAAGAGAGGTGGTTTTCCCGGTCTCCTCCCTGGAGGTGTGAAATAAACAGAGTCCCACTGTTAGGGACTGGTGCTGGAGGTCTCTAGTCCGTCCTTCGGGGCTCTGTGAGCAGGCAAAGAGAGGTGATTTTCCCGGGCTCCGCCCTTTACATTTTGTAAATAGCAGAATACCTCCATGGCGCATAACTGCACTTTACAAGCCAGGGAAGGTGCCTGAATCCTGGGTATACATTTTGTAAATAGTGCAATACCTCCAGGGCGCATAACTGCACTTTACAAGCCAGGGAATGTGCCTCAATCCTGGGTATACATTTTGTAAATAGTGCAATACCTCCAGGGCGCATAACTGCACTTTACAAGCCAGTGAAGGTTGCCTGAATCCTGGGGTAAACATTGTTTAATTGTTAAGTGTTTTTTAAATGTATGGAACAGTGTTTTGTCTCTTTCAAAACTCTCCCATCATTGGCCGGATACATGGGGACGATTTTATATTCACTATGACCGTTAATATTCCAGTGAGACGAAGTACGTCCGGTGACGGGAGTGATCCCATGTTAATTTTTGTCCAAAAACCAGAGCATTCCCTCATCCTTCTGCTACACCATTGCACCTGGTACCATCAGCTAATTCCACACAGTGGGATTCAGCCTGGAAGTCATCATTAAACCTCTTGAACTTGTTACATCCGTGACGATATGTGAAGTCGCCCCTGTGTCCACCATTAGTCCTCTCTCGGTGATGCTGCGCCCTGGCTGGACCTTGTTGTCCACGTCGTTGACTCGGAAAGCATACTCCTCGCCAGTCGTTTCATCCGAAGCTTTCCGCGCGTCGTCCTCCCGTCGCTGCTTCCGCCTGCAGGCCGCTTCCCGATGTGTGTTGCTCTTACAATGACTGCACCACAGCTTACGTTGGCACGTTCCGGCCTTGTGTCCACTCAGGCCGCATCTATAACAAACAATGTCCGCACACTTGGTTCCTTTATCCCATGCTCTTGGTCAGAGTTGGGTGTAATAATATTACTTTTGTCGGTAACGGAGTAGTGTAACGCGTTATAATTCAGTAATCACACTACAGTTACTAACATTGCCCCGACACGCGTTACTTCGTTACTTTTATAAAATCAGTCATAATCACACTGACAGACAAGAGGGGTTTCCGCCGCAGGTTTATATGTACGTAATCTGCGCGACTTGCGCGTCCACCTCTCCGCGTGCAGTGCTGCATAAACATGGCAGAGTCAGCGATAACTTTCGAGGGGTGGAGGTATGCCCATTACTTTGAGTTCGTCCGAAGAATAGACAGGAATATGACGGTGAGGTGCAAACTGTGTCCAGGCCAGAAGCTGTTATCCACTGCTGCAAACACCACGTCAAACCTCAACAAACACCTGCAAAGAACACATGCTAAGGTGAAGCTAATAGCTAAGGACCCCCGAACCCAGAGTGAGGATGTTGTGAGTGCGCCGCCGCCGACTCCGAAGCAGCAACAATTAGAATTTGGAGGACCGGTAACCAAAGCAGAGATGGACAGGCTTGTAGCATCCTTCATAGTAGAGGTAATGTTGCCCATTTGCGCGTTTCTCAAAGCGGTGATGGCGGTCTCTGCATGTATTATATACTCCGTCACACTTTCACTGCTTGACTTTAGGAGTGATGTCAGTTCAGTATATAGGCTGATAATACGTGGTTTACCTGTGCCAGCATAATAGTCTCTTAAAATATTCAATTGCCTGCCGACCATTATCCGCCGCCTCCCTCATTACAAGGGACAAACTTTTGTCATCAAGAAATTGGATAAGCTCTGCATAAGCCTCTTCATTTTTCTTTTCATCGTCCGCCTCTTCATCTTCCTCAATTATGTCCGTAGGACTCCTTGAAATAGTATTCTTCAGTCCCTGTAAGCGAAGATGGCCCAAGAATTTCGTCTCCCACAGTTCATAGTTCTTTTCATCCCCGTCAAACACTAACCGAGACCAGCGGGTACTGGAACCTGCGCCCAACCTGCTCATGGCGTTAGCTTAGCTTGCTAATCCACCACACGTGCTACGTTGCGACTTTCCATCGGTGGACAAACGCCGGAAATACTTATTGGGTGTCTCTGGGCCCATAACCTGTTAGCAGAGTAAGCATAACTTCATTGCTGTTTAGCATCCAAATAAGCGGAGGAGTAACGAAACATCAGAGAACCGTGGCATTTCATTCAACGGACCCTCCCATTGGAGGCGTGGCTTTATTTATACCCATCATTGACCTTTAACCTGTTACGCTATTGGCTTCCAGTCATGCTAACAACAAATAACACAAATTGGTAACATATTTACCTGAATGTTAACAGTAACCATGGTAACTATGGGCGGGAAGTCTTCTTCGCTGCTTTTGTGGCAGACTACAGCGCCACTTACAGGCCTGGCATATGTACTACAGCGTCTCCAGCGCTTTCGAGCGGCAATGGCCGCCGTGGCCCAACCCCACATTCCCCTGATAGGTGGAGAGTTGGCCCAATAGCCGTAGCGCCACCGTCCTGACGTCAGGACAGTGTTCAAATCTGGATCAGTTTTATCAGATCCGTTGCAGCCCCTTTTTTTAGAGATTTGGGTATGGAGGAAAATAGAGAGGGTTGTGTTTTCTGACACTTGGTGAGTTCCCTGGAACACCGGGGACACATATTCATGTAGAAAAGACGTACAAAAGTGCATTTTGCATGATAGGTCCCCTTTAAATTAACCCTTTTAGAAGGGAAGATATGGTCATTTGTTCTGGGAATGTCATTTTCGAGCCTGAAACCTGAAAAACAGGCTCAGGGCTAAACAGGTTAATAACAGTTTCAACTTTAGTGCAATGCCTTGTTTATTACTTGTTTCTGCAGCTGCAACTAAATATATAAATACATCTAATCTCATCTAAATAAACCTTCAATAATAAAGAGCAGAAAGAATGAAACTTAAAAAGGCTAATATTGATTAAGACAGATATAAAAAGCAAGAATACGAGTTACAATTCAGCGTTCGATATGAAAAAGTATTTTATTTCTGCTTCCACCTGATTCAACGGAGGTGAAAGGACTTACATTTGCAAATAACAGAACACCAACAATGAAACACATGAGCCCGTACTACAGTTTCAAAAAGCAGGAATAATCCTAAAATTCCATCTTAACTCTGAACTATTTTATTTTGTTCACATTATATATGCTTATAATTTAAGTTAGGCAATATTATAAGGAATCACTCTGTACATTTTCATTGTTATGCAGATGATACTCAACTATATTTATCCATCAAGCCTGATGAAACCGATCATCTAAATAAAATTCAAGACTGCCTCAAGGACTTAAAAACGTGGATGACTTTAAACTTGTTGATGTTAAACACGGCCAAAACTGAAGATATTGTACTCGGCCCAAAGAATCTATGAAACAAATTATCTAAAGATATACTAACTATGGATGGCATTAATTTGGCCTCCAGTGAGACTGTAAGGAATCTTGGTGTTATATTTGATCAGGATTTATCTTTTAATGCCGACATAAAATCAATCTCAAGGACCGCCTACTTCCATCTACGTAACATTGCAAAAATCAGGCATATCTTGCCTCAAAACGATGCAGAGAAACTAGTCCATGCATTTGTTACTTCAAGGCTGGATTATTGTAACTCTTTATTATCAGGGTGTACCAAGAAGTCAGTGAAGTCGCTTCAGCTGATTCAAAATGCTGCAGCTCGTGTACTAACCAGAGTTAGGAAAAGGGACCACATTACTCCTGTTCTGGCTGCCTTACACTGGCTCCCTAGAGAACACAGGATAGCATTTAAAATTCTTCTTCTCGCCTACAAAGCCCTTAATGGGCAGGCGCCATCTTACCTTAAATAACTCATTGTACCCTACTGTCCTACTAGGGCATTGCGTTCCTAGAATGCAGGGTTGTTGGTTGTTCCTAGAGTCTCTAAAAGTACAATGGGAGCCAGAGCCTTTTCTTATCAAGCTCCACTTTTGTGGAATCAGCTTCCAGTTTGTGTTCGGGCGGCAGACAGCCTATCTGTTTTTAAGAGTGCGCTTAAGACCTTCCTTTTTGATAAAGCTTATAGTTAGGGCTGATTAGATTCAGCCCCTAGTTTAGCTGCTATAGGCTTAGACTGTCGGGGGACACCTTACTTCTTCCTTCTCTCTGTCTGTACCTGTGTACTCTCATGTTCCCAATAACCCAGCTTCCCCACATTTCTTTTTGGTGTCTATCTACGCTGGGATCCTGAGTCCTGATCTGAGTCCTGATCTGAGTCCTGGACTTCGAGTCGTGGCTGAACCTGTCTCTGTGGTCCTGCCTGACTCTCATCATACTACTTCCCTGATGGCTCCCACAGGATTGTTGACATGCTCGTGGATTCATCTTCTTATTATAGACACATGCATTTCCAAACATGTGGTCTACCTATGTTGTAAATGAATTATCTTTTCGATTTACACACGGCATCTATTGCACGTCTGTCCGTCCTGGGAGAGGGATCCCTCCTCTGCTGCTCTCCCTGAGGTTTCTCCCATGTTCCTTTAAACTGTGGGGTTTCTCTGGAAGTGTTTCCTTGTACGATGTGAGGGTCTAAGGACAGAGGGTCTAAGGACAGAGGGTCTAAGGACAGAAGGGGTCGTATTGTCAAACTGATATTCTGTACAAACTGTGAAGTCCACTGAGACAAATGTAACCTTTGTGATATTGGGCTATATAAATAAACATTGATTGAACTCTAAATGAGCTGATTGTAATCTGTAAACACAAACAATATGCAGGAATGTGAGTCTGTTTCAAAGGCTTTTATTTATTTTTTTTAGTTTGGTTTGATGATATAAACAGAACAGAATCAAACTGGAAACATCGTAAATATTCTCTATATCAATAAGTCATTGGTTCTTCTTTTAGACCAGAACAGACTGATAACTCAACTGGAACTATCAAACACATCCCAATGGAAGTTTCAAGTCACAACATTTCATTAACCAAACAGATTATTAGAGAAACTACTCTGCAGATGAATCAGTCAGTGGTTATAGTATAAATCAGAAAAGTAGTATGACAAAAACATTAAACATATTCAAAACTTCTGTTGATAAAGATGGAGTTTATATGAAGTCATGTATGAATATTGTCAAACAGACTTTATAAAGTCAGACAGATTTTTCTCATGTGAATTGTCGTAGGACTAATTAATTGTCCTCTTTTTTTGTTGCACATGCAGATTTGACTTGGAAAATGTCAGGTTCAGAAGAGTCTCCAGGGTTGTCCTCAGTCTCTGGTTGTAAATGTCTCTCTGGATCTGAGTTCCTGGCTGGTTCTGGTCCTCCACAGTCCTCTCCATCAGCTTCTGTTTCCAAGTGTTCAGCTGAGCTGCTGGCTGGAGGCTTTGCCTCTCTGTTCTCCTCAGTTTGAGTTTGATGAAGCTGTGAGGACTGACGACCAACACACTTATGGCTTTTGACCTGATGACTCCAGGTGAATATTTTGTCACAAACACTGCAGCTGAATGGTTTCTCTCCTGTGTGGACTCTCATGTGTCTCTTTAAATCTCCCGTATCTGCAAAAGATTTCTCACAAATTATGCAGCTGAATGGTTTCTCTCCTGTGTGGTTTCTCATGTGGCCCTTTAAATCTCCACTCTGTGTAAAATATTTCTTACAAAATGAGCAGCTGTATGGTTTCTCTCCTGTGTGGTTTCTTATGTGTGCAATTAAATTGCAACGATCTGCAAAAGTTTTCTCACAAATTATGCAGCTGAATGGTTTCTCTCCTGTGTGGATTCTCATGTGTCGTTGGAAATGTCCTCTCTGTGTAAAAGATTTCTTACAGACTGAGCAGCTGAATGGTTTCTCTCCTGCACTACGCCTTGAATCACTGACAGGGTCTTGTTTATTTCTCTGAGAGTTTGAACCTGGTTCTCTGGTCTCCTTCCAATCAGCACTGTCTTCAGTGTCAGGTTCAGAAGAGTCTCCAGGGTTGTCCTCAGTCTCTGGTTGTAAATGTCTCTCTGGATCTGAGTTCCTGGCTGGTTCTGGTCCTCCACAGTCCTCTCCATCAGCTTCTGTTTCCAGGTGTTCAGTTTGTCTTTGATGAAGCTGAGAGGACTGAGGTTTCTCTTCATCATCTTCACTCTTCACAGGGACAGGAGTGAATGTGGACTTGGTGATATCAGCCTCCTCCAGCCCTTGAAGCTGCTCTCCCTCCTGACTGATCCAGAGTTCCTCCTGTTCCTCTTTAATGTGTGGGGGGGGCTCTGGGTCCTCCTGGTCCAGACTGGAGCTCCACTCCTGCTGCTCAGGGGGAACCTCTTCTTTAACCACCACCAGCTGCTGGACGTCTGCAGGAAACAGGAAACACATATTCAGAGAAACTCTAGAGTATTAGAATTTAAAATCTAACCACGAAGTTCCGCCCACTGTGTGTTTCTGTTGGCTCGATTGTCTGTCAACAGGTGAGTTAGTACGGTAGCTGGTCTAAAACATAGTTTCACTGCCGCTTAGCAAGGCGTCGGCCGTTCACGGAGTGTGAGGCCTTAGCCTTACAGTTTGTGACCTGTCTGCAGAGTCGTTAGCTGAGAACTGGTGTTGGAGTTTCTCAGAGTAGTCGTTTAGCATCTCTCACCGCCTTGCTAAACCTGTACTTGGACTCATACAGGTGCATCTCAATAAATTGAATATCATGGAAAAGTGAGTTTATATCAGTAATTCAATTTATAAAGTTTAAACTTATACATTACATAGATTCATCACACACAAAGTGATTATTTCCAGCGTTTTAATCTTGATGATTGCAGCTTACAGCTAATGAAAAGACAAAACAAAGCATTGAATATTACATAAGTCTAGGGTTCCAGGTGAGAACCGAGTTTCGGCGCATGATGTCCATAGTTAACCGCAAATTAATCGCACATTTTCTATCTGTTCTAAATGTACCTTAGAGGGATATTTTTCAAGTTTTTAATACTCTTATCAACATATGAGTGGACAAATATGCTTTATATGTTTGTTTATTATCATTTGAACAATGACAAATATTCTCATGAATATTAAAACACAACAACCTGGAACCTCTCTCATACAATAATACAAAGTGTGTGTGTGTGTGTGTGTGTGTGTGTGTGTGTGTGTGTGTGTGTGTGTGTGTGTGTGTGTGTGTGTGTGTGTGTGTGTGTGTGTGTGTGTGTGTGTGTGTGTGTGTGTGTGTGTGTGTGTGGTGTGTGTGGTGCTGAGTGTGCTGACTTTTGGGGTTTGTTCAACTTTCAAAAGATGTTTGAATGGTGATATACACAGTGATAGATGTTAAGGACTAACGTTTATAATAAATACATTTGTATTGATTTTAAGATCTTTTCATACAATCATACGTATTGGGATCATTTGTATTAATGTGAACCGGAGGGAGAGGGTGACGAGCATAAGTTTCACTTTCCTTTTTTATTTCAATTCCAACTTTGGTCATGAAGAATATGTTTCTCTGTTGTCCCCGTTCATAAAGCATAACAGCATCAGAGCACGGTGCAGAGTCTCTAGATGAGTTTACAGTAGTCCCTCGTTCTTATTAAACATCCATGTTGTAGTCCGCTGTATAGAAAACTGTAGTTTCCATAGTTTCCCCACAGCAGCAGACGCACATTTATGACGTCAGTCTGTGCACCAAAGTCTAAACCACGGTCCTCCCAAACTAGTCTCAACCAATCATAAATGTACGGGCAACGCTGTTACTGTTTAACTGGTGACGCGGGGGAACTCGTGACGTTCTATAAAATACATATACACATTTCGATCGCTTCTTCTGTCGTTTACATTAATCTTTTGGTATATTTGGCTGGATAGGAACACTTTGATGCACATTCAGTACCAGTGTGTGAGGTTGTGTTTGCGATGCCGATATCCGGACGTGTACAGCGAGGACTATAAAAAGACACATGAGGTGACTGGGGATGTGTGTTCAAAACATTGCACGCTTGAATAAATCATTTAAACCAGTTATTGTTGCCAGACTTATTGCTGAATATCGTTCTTAATGTGATACCAAGTCCATCTGAGACCCGTGTACACCTTCAGACAGCCTCCAAGTGAAGCACACGTTGTTTACTCACAGTTTGAAAGCAGCGTGGAGAACAGAGTTCCCGTTAGAATATTTTTTTGCCAGTCAACATGTCCGTTAAAGTTTAAATCTTCCGGACAAAATGAGAAAAGTGCCGGTCAAAGGTCTTCTTTGTTATTTATTGAGCTTTTAAACAAATTGATATGATTCGATATTAAACAAACTAATTCTAGTAGATTAACTACATTATTCAAAAGTGTACAGTAATTTATAACACGGGAATAATAAACGGAGCACTCTCTCCCTCTCCTGACAGCCCGTCAGTATCATGCAGCTCGCGGATCCAGTAATGAGTGGCCCGACAGTCAAACTAAACATATCTATAACTAGTTTAGGTAGTTTGAGAGGTAATTAAAATAGCTACGTGATATTCTAACCTGAAGTGTGTGGTTTGTTCCGCTCAGCTGCAGATGATCATGCAGAGCTGCGTGTCAACTCGTCAGCAGCAGCTGATCTCTTGCTCCCGTCAGATTAGACTTCACTCGCGTTTATGTCCATATCGATCAGATCTAGCTAGTTCTAGCTAATGATATGACTACATGCTTATTAAAAGACACCTAAACAATAAGCGTCGCTATGCAACCGGGTGAGGCCACAAAGTATAGCGCAGCATTATGCATTTGTTTACATGCCCACCGGAACCCCGAGGCATTACCAACAGATCAACGCACAATCAACCCATACAGGACACTCTTTCTCCACATTAAATGTTAGTCATTAGAATTGACTATTCTTGTCTGTCACATACTATTCTTGTCTGTCACATAAGTGGCGCAACTGATGCCGTATTGTGCTAAAGGGAAATTATTTTGACCGGACATTTTGACCGGAGAGATTTAGATTTGCCGGTCTTCAGCATATTTTACCGGTCATAGTCCGGTAATTACCGGCTAACGGGAACTCTGGTGGAGAAGTCTTCAGCTGAGCTGTGATCCGCCCAGTTTAACTTGTGATACGACTTCTGTTCTGTGGCTATCAACCAGCGATCATGTTTAATATTAAAGACTACACACATGTATCCCTTATCAAAACGGTATTCTGCACTTTGCAGCACTTATCCAGATGAGATGTGACTGTTTACTTGGTTAACTTTCGTTATGCATCGATACAGCGACACAAACCGAAAGACGAGGATACTCACATACGTTGAGAACTAGAAACACATATATTCATAATGTTTACTCTGCTGTGAACATGTTTTCGTTTCTATCTTAACGTTTATGCTTTTATCTTTGTGTTATTTTGTGTTATATGTTGTATCTATTTCTGTGTAACTTGGTAATATTAATATGAATTCCTTGTTATTGTTGTCTTTCCATCTGTCGGTGATGATTATACTACATAATGAAACACATGGCCTGATTAGCATATTTGATATGATATAACTTAATGTGTGCACTGGAATACATTTATATGTCAAATGACCACTTATCACAACATGTGGGCTCGCAGGCTGATCAACTAGGATATCTGATCTCGGTGGGTCTTAATGAGACTTGATACAGACCTCAGTCAGTAGGCTATTTCAAAGCAAATGCCTACTATAATATGTATATTATATGGCTTAAGTGTACATACATTCGCTCGCATTATAAATGATGGTTGGCTTGCATTTTTCTGAATCTTTTAACAATGTTAATGTGTAAAAATTCAGCTATGATGAACAAATATGTCGTGATGATTCGTGGCTCACTCACAACGCGCAGGTCTAGAGTGATTTTTGCTGTTGGGACTCGGGTTTGAGTCCAGCATGAACTTTTTAGTTATTTTCATGTCGATGGACACTGAATTATATGTTTGAATAGAGGATTCATAATATTGTTTGCGGAGACCAAAATGAATGACCAAGCAGCATTTTACAGTCTAAATATCCCTACACATGCAGAATGACATTTCTGCTGCTGTCTTTGCAAAACGAGTAAACAGTCACATCTTATCTGGATAAGTGCTGCAAAGTGCAGAATACCGTTTTGATAAGGGATACATGTGTGTAGTCTTTAATATTAAACATGATTGCTGGTTGATAGCCACAGAACAGAAGTCGTATCACAAGTTAAACTGGGCGGATCACAGCTCAGCTGAAGACTTCTCCACGCTGCTTTCAAACTGTGAGTAAACAACGTGTGCTTCACTTGGAGGCTGTCTGAAGGTGTACACGGGTCTCAGATGGACTTGGTATCACATTAAGAACGATATTCAGCAATAAGTCTGGCAAAAATAACTGGTTTAAATGATTTATTCAAGCGTGCAATGGTTTGAACAGACATCCCCAGTCACCTCATTGTCATTTTGTAGTCCTCGCTGTACGCGTCCGGATATCGGCATCGCAACCACAACCTCACTGGTACTGAATGTGCATCAAAGTGTTCCTATCCAGCCAAATATACCAAAAGATTAATGTAAACGACAGAAGAAGCGATCGAAATGTGTATATGTATTTTATAGAACGTCACGAGTTCCCCCGCGTCACCAGTTAAACAGTAACAACGCCCTCTGTAATAAAATGTATTGACGCACGAGGTTCGAGGCTTTTTTACGGAAATAGTGGTTACAGATTACAGCTTTAAAAAGGGGACAGACCTGCTCTGTGGATCTGAAGCTGAGGCTGTAAAACAGCGTCCAGTAGTTTCCGGTGTCTCTCGTTCCTCCTCGTACTCTGCTATCGTTCTTTCAAACAGAACAAAGATGTCTTCAGCAGCCGCAGTGAGTCGCTGCTTCACCAACGAGAGTAGCACAACACTCATGTTTACTAAATCACCACTTCCTGTTTCTCTCACTCTGTGTTGCTAGCGAGTTACCAGCTAGCATGCTAAGCTAGCTTCTAGAGTCCGAGCTAAAGGCTTCAGAAGAAAGAGCACAAAGTCAGAGGTTCATCCAGACACACAGACGATGGATCAGCTGCTCACACAGACTGTCTCAGGAACACCGAGAGAGAACCATGGATGTAGCGAGAGAACCATGGATGAAGAGAGAGAACCGACGAGACGCAATCTGGTTCCAAGTTGGAAAGAGCGGGACCATCACTTCCGGTGCAGGGACTTCAAAATAAAAGCGGCTATGATTTCCCCTTAGACAATACCTAAACCTTTAAGATACACAGACATGGAGCTGCGGAGAGAACCCGGTTTATTTCTCCTAAAACACCTTTATCTATATTATAAGTATTCCCCCTCTTCCTGTAATATAATATTTGTAAGAAGAGAAAGGTGAAGAGAGAAAACCGTGGGTTTTATTGTGAAGGCCAGCACCGGAAGTTGTGTTTCAGGCTTTCCGTTAGCATGTTAGCTCGTCTTTTCCTAACCAAGACGAAAAGACGAGAGGAGCTGATTTTTGGACAGTTTGTCCACAGCCTAACTCTGCATGAATTTTAAAAGTCTCTGACTCTTTACAGTCTCAACAAGTGTGTCTCTGTTAGCAAGGATAACAGCTAATGCATCATGGGGGTTGTAGTTTTTAATAAACTTTATAGAGATTCAGGGGAAGTGTAGCGACCCTGCATAGGGTGCTGGGTGTGTCACTCAGGCGTCCCCCGTCTCTCTGCCAATCACAGAGCTGCACAGTATTGCTGGTCGGTGTGCGGGCCTGTGGTTGGGGGAGCAGAGGGGGGAGGGCTGGGGAGTCGTGACGTTGACCCTGCTGTGTGTGTGAGTTAGGGAGTGGAGTAGAGAGTAATGATAAACCTGTAACCTGTAACCTGAGCTGTATACTATAACCGTAAGAGAACAAAGGAGTTATTAAACCCAATCACTGGAAGCCTGTTTCCGACTTCCTTTTGTCGAACGTTACAGAAGAAACAAACAGTGCCATCAAGGGGCGGAGCTACAGCAACACATGGGGGCAATACAAGCTGGAACATTCCCAACCCGGTATCACGGCAAGACGTGAACATGTGACGATCTACCATGCTGGGAGACGTGAATATGTCACGGTTTCGTCCCTTCAAACGTGACAGTGGGTTTTTCTCAATCGCGAGTACGCTTGCTTGGTAGCACATGTCTGCCGAGCATCTTGCTTCAGAAGCGAGGCAAGAATACTTCCTGGCATTCGGAAAACGAAGAGTGGAACACGCTAGCAAGTGTGCAGGTGTCCGTCATATGAGAGGCCCCGCCTTACATCTTCCGCCACAGATTTGGGGAAATTGGTCTGTGCGCAAAGCATTGTGGGGATTTTAAGACCGTGGAGTCTACTCATGTGCAGCCTCGATATTTCTCCAAACGGAGTACGCCGGGCTCGGTAGATTTCCAAGTATGCTGGAGATTGGAACAGTACTTCGGCGGCACTCGATGACGTAGTATGCTTGAAATAGTGGCTCTGAAGCAGCTTTACTCGACATTGAGAAACACCCAGTTACACGGTATTGTTAACATGGCCCAACCAGTGGAGAAATACCCGGAAGTGCCAAGCAAATGGTCTACCAAGACTATTGGTCGGTTTTTATTGTCAAAATTAGATGTTTTTAATTTATTTTTTAATCGTCACACTCGATTTTGCCGATTTTCTTGTTGCCCTAGCTGGTCGACACCTCTTTTAGCAGAAACAAAGGCTACATTAATGTATTAAATCCATGTTAATCCATGTGTGTGGAGCATAGACTGTGGGTGTTTCTCAATGTCGAGTAAAGCTGCTCCAGAGCCACTATTTCAAGCATACTACGTCATCGAGTGCCGCCGAAGTACTGTTCCAATCTCCAGCATACTTGGAAATCTACCGAGCCCGGCGTACTCCGTTTGGAGAAATATCGAGGCTCGTATGGCGAGGCTCGTATGGCGTTCACGATCAATCATCTGACTGGGAAAGCCCGACTGTGGGGCACAGCTGAATGGGAGCAGCAGACACCCGCCTGCTCTTCTTTCCCCTTCTTTTCCGCGGAGCTGCGCAAGGTGTTTGGACCCGTGTCTGTGGGTCCAGACGCTGCAGGAGGACTACTGAGCCTGAGCCAGGGTAATGGATCTGTGGTGGATTATGCGATTGGGTTTCGCACCAGGGGCCGCCTCAGCAACTGGAATTCTGCAGCCCAGTGTGACCCCTATCTGCGTGGCTTGGCGGCTTACATTAAAGACGAGCTGGTGTCTTTTGATCTGCCCAACTCACTGGATGGGCTGATTGAGCTGACTTCCCGCATGGATCGGCGCATCCAGACACGGAGACGGGAGCGACGGTCGGAGGGAGTTCAACATGCCTGGGCGCCCCGACATCCGGGTTCGACTGGGACTCCTCCCCTCACTCCAGAGCCGCAACCAGGGGGTGATGAGCCCATGCAGGTGGGTCGCACCAGCCTCACCTTGGAGGAACGTGAACATCGCAGACGAGGTAACTTATGTCTCTACTGCGGCCGGCCATTTTGTTTCTCGCTGCCCGGTAAAAGGCAAGGCTAAGCAGTAATGGGGAACATACTGGTGAGCCAAACCCCTGGATTTGTTCCTGCTCAGAGACCATTGAGCCACGCCAGGTTGCTATTACCGGATAGCTCTCAGGCCCTTGCAGTCTTTATTGACTCTGGTTCGGACGCAAGTATTATGGACAAAGAGCTTATGCTGCAATTGGGAATAGACCGGGCTCCCTTATCTCGCCCAGTTCCAGCCAGCGCCTTAGACGGTCACCTGCTTGGGACAGTGACTCATCAGACTGTACCCGTTCACATGCTCCTCTCCGGAAACTATTCCGTTTCATGTTCTCCGGTCTCCACATATCCCGCTTATCCTGGGTTACCCATGGCTCCGCCGCCACAACCCTAACATTGACTGGGAGACGGGAGCCATTTTGGGGTGGAGCCCCTCTTGTCATCAGATCTGTCTGAAACAGGCTGCCGCGCCTCAGCGTTCGGTGAACCCCAGCCGAGTTCCGGATGTTACAGGGGTCCCACCGGAATATCTGGACTTCAAGGAAGTATTCAGCAAGACGAGGGCTACTTCCCTTCCACCACATCCGGCCTTACGACTGTGCCATCGACCTGCATCCCGGCACCAGCCCTCCCAGGGATCGATTGTACTCCCTGTCTGCTCCGGAAAGAGTTTCCATGGAGACTTATATCAATAACTCTCTGGTGGCTGGGATTATTCGCCCTTCCTCATCACCCGCTGGAGCGGGGTTCTTCTTTGTGGAGAAGAAAGACATTTTATTTGTATTTATTTTTTTATTTAACCAGATAAAAACATTGAGATAAAATCTCATTTTCAATGCTGACCTGGCCAAGAAGGCAGCAACGTTACACATAACACAAACATATCAAATACAGAGAACATAACTAAGAAAACAAAAGACGAAAAAACAGTCACTACATTGTGCACATTAGGACAGTAAGAAAAGTACACTACTTGTTACTGCAAGAGCAGCTGGTGGTGAGGACTTCAGACAACTTCAATTTAAAACATGATATAGAGACAAGTGCCATCAGTTTGAGGCGTGATTGAAGGTCATTCCAAGACCAAGGACCATAATAAGAAAGACTCCTTTTTCCAGCCTCAGTCCGTACAGTAGGAACCTGGAACCGTATCCAGGCACTGGGTCTGAGGTTGTAAGAGTCACAAACTGGGGCAAATCTGGCACATATGTACAGTGGAAGCTTACCTAAAATGGCTTTATACATTAATAAAAACCAGTGCTGCATCCTACGCATAGTAAGTGAGGACCATCCAGTTAGGCTATACAGTGTGCAATGATGAGTCCTATAGGGTGCATTTGATACATCACAGTGCAGCATGGTAAAGTGGGTCAAGTTTGGCCAAAACAGTGGGACAGGTAAATCTATAGATGGTATCACCGTAGTCCAGCTGGGACAGGAATAAACCAGAGACCAACCTTTTACGGAATGAAATGGAAAAACAACATTTAAGTCTGAAAAGGAAGCCAAGAGTGAATTTCAATTTCTTTGTTAAAACTTCAATATGGTGTTTAAAGTTCAGATTACTGTCCAACCAAAAGCCCAGATATTTGTAGGTATCAACAAACTCAACAGAGACGCCATCAAGGGTGTCAATGGAGAGGCAAGAGGAGGACGCTGACTTGGGAGCAAAGAGCATTGTTTTGGTTTTCTTACTGTTCAATAGCAGTTTGGAATCAAGAAGTGCATGCTGCAGCGTGATAACATCAGATTTTAAATTGGAAACGGCCATATCCAGAGAAGGAGCACACGAGTATACAATAGTGTCATCAGCATACATATGATAGGTAGAAAATTGCATCTGATTACAAATATTGTTTACATATAATAAAAAGAGCAAGGGCCCCAAAATAGAGCCCTGTGGAACTCCCTTCTCCAAGGTGACAGGGTCAGAGACAGTACTACCCAACCTGACGCATTGAGTACGGTCGGTTAGATAACTCTGAAACCATCAAATGGCATTGTGACCGAAACGAGACACCAACATAACATTAGACATAATGTGGTGATCTACAGTGTCAAATGCTTTGGCTAGGTCAATAAACAATGCAACACAAAGTGATTTCTTATCCAAAGCAGCCTTAATATCGTCTAAGACTTTCAGACTGGCAGTCACAGTACTGTGCTTTGATCTGAATCCAGATTGCATAGGGTTAAGGATGTTGTGTGAATTTAAAAAAAGTTTTAGCTGAGTAGAAACAAGGGACTCAAGAATCTTTGATAACACAGAAAGATTTGAGATAGGACGATAGTTATTCAACTCCGTGGGATCACCAGCTTTCAAGAGGGGCGATACCAGAGCTTGCTTCCACACAGCTGGCAGTGTGTGAGTGGACATGGAGAGATTACAAATATCAGTTACTG